TGAAAAAGGGTTTTTTGGTAGTCACTTGCCTAAGGGGAGAGCCTCGATGTGGTTAGATATTTTGAAAGTAGTTAATCATTGAAGGATAAAGGCTTGGACTTAATGCGGTTTTGTGTTAAGAAGGTTGGGAACATGTCTTCTACTACTTTCTGGAGTGATATTTGGGTTGGTGGCTCTTCTCTTAAAAGTCAGTTTCCAAGTCTTTTTAATCTAGAGTTGGAAAAACAAGTGACGATTTAGGAAAAAATGGAGCATGGCTCCTTTCTTTCTTCTTTTCGCAGATCTCCTAGGGGGTGGTGAATCTCTTCAATGGATAGTTTTATTCAGTTGATGGAGTCCGTTTCTTTGTCTCATGCTTCTGACAGGTGGTCTTGGAATCTTTCTGGAGTAGGGGAGTTCTCAGTTGCGTCCGCTAGATCTTTCATTGATGAAAAAACTCTTCCTTCTTCCTCTATTGAGACTAAATGGAGTAAATTGGTGCCCATAAAGGTTAATGTTTTTGCTTGGCGTTTGGCTCTTGATAAGCTTCCTACTCTTCATAATCTTTTAGCTAGGGGTTTGGACGTCTCGTCCTTGATTTTCTCTATATGTGATTCCATTTCTGAAAATAGAGATCATTTGTTCTTTAGTTGCCATCTAGTTGTGGACCTTTCTGCTCAGGTCCTTAGATGGTGGGGGTTTGGTAACTGTTCGTTTGCTTCATTTGAAGATTGGTTGATTTGGTTTTCTTCTCTTCGATGTTTTGGAGAGACTAAACGTTGGATGGAGGGAGTTTTTTACTCTCTTTGGTGGCACATTTGGAATTACAGGAATGCTCAGATTTTTGCTTCTTCAGTTCCGAGGCCGGCGGTTTTATTTGATAATTCCGTTACTCAAATATTTTTTTGGTGTAAGGCCAGGTCTAAGAAAAACTTAAAATGGGTCGGTTGGCTTCAAAACCCCCAACTTGCTATCTATGCTTGATGTTTTCTTTACTTGACTAGTTTCTTGCTAGTCTGTTTTGTTTAATAAAATTCAGTCGTTCTAAAAAAACAAAGGTTTTTGTTTAAATCAAACGTTTTATCAAAAGTTAAAAGCTAAAGGCTTCAAGGAGTCCTAAGTAAAAGACTAATCTTTAAAAACATTTTCATTGGAAGCTTATTTTATAGATTATTATTATTTGCTTTATTCTATTTATAAACTATTACCATTGAATCTAATAGTTTTTTTTCATCTGAGTGGTCAATATATCTTCATGTTTAGTATATTCAACCCCATTATCTTCTATTTGACCTCTTAATTACATTTAATTTAAATATTTTTAATTTATTTACTAGGTAATTATTTCTATTAAATGTTTAATGATATTTTATTTATGAAATATAAATTTATAACGATTATATAATATTTTCAATCTTTTTTATAATTTCGTATTTTATGTTTGAACGTTGGCATGATGAATCATATACATAATGGACTGGTTTAGATTGGTCCTAACCGCATTATTCTGAATTCATTTTATTGAATAGAATAGTAAATAAAAATCATAATATATTAATATGAAACTCGATAGGGGTAATTTCAAATGACAAATTTATACGAAATCCAGACTATTGTCATTGAACCGCTACAAGATCAACAATTTCATAAAATTGGGCCTCTGTTGTTGATATAAAAACATCTATTTCCATTCGATGTCTATAAAATATGATGCGTGTTTAAAAAATGACCAATTGAATGGAGATAATTTTATAGAACATTTTAAATATATAATGATAGATTAGGTAAAATTAATGTAACATCTGGTTTTCATGTATTTTCATTTTAGTCATTGGCTTAATTAAAGTTTTCATATTTGGCCATTTATGTCAAAAGCCTTGCATTTCAGCCCGTACATTGGGCGTACGTAAGGTACGCACAACGTACATGATCGAGCCTTGGAAATGCAGGACTCATGCTAGTACGTTGGGCGTACATGTGGTACGTAGGGCGTACTAGCTTAGGCCATAAACCCTAAAATTTAGGGGTTGCTCCCTATTTAATCCACCTTATGCCTCCCTTGGACATTACTTATCAGCCTCCCTTCCCTCTAAACCCTAGATACCGAACCCTAGCCTTGAGAGTGAGGATCTTGGAGTCTTTTGGTGATTTTGTGCATTCTTGTGGAAGAAGAAGGTCCGTGAAGAAGGTGGTGTTGCTTGCAAGCTTGTAGATCCTAAAACTCCTTTATCTTGTGCATCTTTTGAAGGTATAAAGTCTATACCTTGCTGATGTTCTTTCTAGATCTCCATAGATGGGTTTTTATGAGCTTTTTGTCCCAAAGTTTGGACCTTTGTGAGTATGGAGTACTCCAGAGCATATTGGCTGTCATTTTAGATGTATTAGAGTGCTTAGATTCATAAAAATGGTTGCTTGATCGTTTCCCTTGGCCCATGTATAAGTTAAGTGACTTAGGGTGTTGAAGAAGTTAGAGTTTTGTGTATTAAGCCTTATCTAGGCATGCAAAGGCTTAAATTCGGTGACTTTATGGGTTAAGACATTCTATAATGGTCAGATCGGACAGTATGGACCAGGCGTAGTATGTCGAGCGTACTCCTGGCTACGCCCCGCGTAGCCATGCTCGTCCCCGTTGATCGCTGACTTGAGTTGTACGCCCCACGTAGGAAGATGTACGCCCCACGTACGGACGAGAGTGTGGACTTATTGACTTTTCTGACTTTTGACTTTGGTCAAAAGATTTAGGGTGTTGGATCATGGAAGGGCAAAATGGTCATTTTGCCCTTCAGGGGCGTAGTTGTGGAATTAGACCTATGAGTCGGGTTATATACCTTAATTGATTAGGGTTACTTGTTGTGTTTATTAGGCGGAGTCTAGTTCCGGCAGTTCGGGTGTGAGATTTATCTGTCATCAGCATCAGGTGAGTCTCCTCGCTTATTCTTACCTGTGTGGTAGAATAGTTGTATCTGTGATGACCAGTTGGGTCTAACTGTTATTAGTGTGTTATGTTGTTTATGTGTGACTGAAACTTCAGGTAGTCTCCAGGGTTGCTGATAACCCACAAGGCATGCTGTTTGCCCACTGAGACTTTGTATAGTCTTCAGGGTTGCTGATAACCCATAGTTGTTTATGTGTTGTGCTGTATGAGATATCTTGGGGAACTCACTAAGCTTCGTGCTTACATTTGTTACTTATATGTGTTTTAGGTAATTCCGAGGATCGCGGGAAGGCGAATGTCTGATTGTACACACTCGCTGGGAGATTTGTTACTGGACATTTTGTGACACTCTGATATTTTGTGATGATGATTTGTATTTGTTACTTGCGTTTTTTCCGATGATTTAGTTTATGAATAATATTTTGGGTAATTTAAAAATGAAAAATTTGATTTGAAATTTGAGGTATTATAATTAAAGAGAAAAATATTAAAAGAGGTTAACTATTAGAGAAGTTATTTAATTATATGTTAAAGTTAATTGAATGATGACGTGTCAATAATTTTAATTGATGGTATATCTTAACCATTGGAGATGTTTTAAGCTATTTTTTTAGTTTGCCAAAAATTACAATTAAAAAAAAATGCTTGAAAAATAAGTTAGTTGTGTTGTGCAAAACACCGGAAAAAAATGTT